AGAGTGCCTCTTCCTCGTCATCTTCCTGTGAGAGTATCGGTGCTGCTGTTCCAGGGTCAGTTGTTGCCAGGTGAACAAGAGATGGACAAGCAAATAGTGATTTCGTAAATTGTGGAGACTTGGAAAATCAAACCTTTTTCCATGTTGATTTTCATCATTTTTCATTTGTTCCATGTTGATTTTTTTTTTTCGCTAACACTGAGATCTCATTTGTTATGGGAAATTCCAGGGTAGTGCTTTTTTCTGGATCTGGTGGATTATATGGATTGGGAAGGCAAAGAGACAAATCTGTAACATTACTTTTTACAAATGGGACGAAAGGGTTGCCATTTCTGGACAGGGGAATTTTACTTTACTAAAATTACAGGGAGTCACTGAATAAATACGTCACTGAAAGCCAGTCATGCCAGTTTGTTTTGGCCCAGCTGATCTCATGAGGGTGGGTGTAAGTTGTAAATGTGATTTGTATAAAACTGCCCCAAGCTGGCAGTGTGGGCCTTCAGGCCAGAAAGCCAGCGGGGGGTCCTGGATCCAAAGGGATATGGCAGCAGGTCCAGGGAGAGGGTTCTCCCCTCTGCTCTGCTCTTGTGAGACCACCTGGAGCACTGGCTACCCCACAAAGTTGATCTGAAGACACCTCCCCTGTGGGGACAGCCGTGGAGATCTGGGGCTGCTCAGTCTGGAGGGGAGAGGGTTGTGGGGAGCCCTCAGAGCCCCTTCCCGTGTCTGAAGGGGCTCCTGGGAACCAGAGAGGGACTGTCCGTCGGGAACTGTTCAGACAGACAAGGGGCAGTGGCTTCAAACTGAAAGGGGAAATTAAGGTTCGATGTTAGGAAGGAACTTCTCCCTGGGTGGGTGGGCAGGCCCTGGCACAGGCTGCCCCTGGATCCCTGGAATTGTTCCAGGCTAGGCTGGATGGGGCTTGGAGCAGCCCGGTCTGTGGGAGATGTCCGTGCCCTGGGTGATGTCTGGGTTCTGTTCCATCTCTCCTCATTCCCTGGGTGATGTTTGGGGTCTGTTCCATCTCTCCTCATTCCCTGGGTGATGTTTGGGGTCTGTTCCATCTCTCCTCATTCCTTGGGTGATGTTTGGGGTCGGTTCCATCTCTCCTCATTCCCTGGGTGATGTTTGGGGTCTGTTCCATCTCTCCTCATTCCCTGGGTGATGTTTGGGGTCTGTTCCATCTCTCCTCATTCCTTGGGTGATGTTTGGGGTCGGTTCCATCTCTCCTCATTCCCGGTCCCCTCAGCCCGTTCCCGCCAGGAGCGCGCGCTGCCCGCGGCGGGCCCTGCGCACGCGCGGTGAGAGGCGCGCGCCTCTAACCCCTAGCGCGGCGGGAGGGCCGCGCAGGCGCAGTGCGGGGGGGGCGGGGCCGCGCGGGAGCAGATCCGGGGCACGGCGGCAGTTGCGGTGAAGGGAGGGACGGGAGAGAGGGACTGAGGAACCATGGTGAGTGTGGGGATATGGGGA